CTATCTGTCTATCCATCCATCTATCCATCCATCCATCCATCCATCCATCCATCCATCCATCCATCTATCATCTATCTATCATCTACCTACCTACCTATCATCTATCATCTATCTATCTATCTATCTATCTATCTATCTATCTATCTATCTATCTATCTATCTATCTATCATCTATCATCTATCTATCTATCTATCTATCTATCTATCTATCTATCTATCTATCTATCTATCTATTTCTATCTCTATCTATCTATCTATCTATCTATCTATCTATCTATCTATCTCTTTATATCTCTATATCTCTACAATCTATCTGTCTATCTAATCTAGCTAGCTATCAGTAGCCATTTGAAGTTATAACAGCATTGAAAAAAGTGACATATGACTGTCACTTTTCACACAACTGTTCCAGCATCCTTGTGGTCACGTGATCAAAATTCAGACACTTGGCAACTGATTCATATTTACGATGGTTACAGTGTCCTGGGCTCATGCAAACCTCTTTTGAGACCTTCTGATGAGCAAAGACAATGGGGAAGCCAAATTTACTTAACCACTGTTTTACTAACTTAACAACTGCAGAGATTCACTCAGAGATTCATGGGCAAGAAAGGCCGTAAAATGGTGCAAAACTTGCTTCCCAACAAAAACATTGGGCACAACTGTGGTTGTAAATCAAGAATTAGCTGTATTACTTTGCTACTTGCCACATTGCTGTTCTTAGTACTTGGGAATGACTCTCCAGCGAAAGTGGACATCACAAGCAAGAGATTCACAGATATTTCCATTTTATGCCCCCTTCCTTAAAAGAGGAAATCTAAGAAGCTGCATCTTTTGCCTGCGATTTGTGCAAATCTACCAGTCTAGCACACACCCACACAAACGTCTACTTACAATCATCTCCACTTAGGTATCACTTGAAATAAAAATGTCCCACCACACCCTCAAAGTACATTTCAATACACTTCCTCTTTACCAAATGGAATGCATCCAAAGACGGATTTGACTGTATTTGTTTTATTTTTATTTTATTTAGTTTGTCAAGCATGTATGAGAAAACAAGTGTATGAACATAACATATAAACATATAAGTATAAACGGGTATAAGTATATACATAATAAATGAGTACGAATAAATGGGAACAGTAAGACAGGGACGGTAGGCATGCTATTGCGCTTACACATACCCCCTTACAGACCTCTTAAGAATGGAGTGAGGTCCATGGTAGACAGTTTAAGGTTAAAGTTTTGGGGGTTTGAGGATGTAACAGCAGAGTCAGGTAGTGAGTTCCAGGCATTGACCACTCTGTTGCTGAAGTTGTATTTTCTGCAATTGAGTTTGGAGCAGTTTACTCTGAGTTTGTATCTATTGTTTGCCCATGTGTTATTGAGGTTGAAGCTGAAGTAGTCTTTGACTGGTAGGATGTTGTAGCGGACAATTTTGTATACTAAGCTTAGGTCAGACAGTAGGCAGCGTAGTTCTAGGCTGTCCAGATCCAAAATTTCGAGCCTGGTAGCATAAGGTATTCTATTGTGAGCAGAGAAGTGGAGGACTCTTCTCCTAAAATACCGCTGGACTCGCTCAATTGTATTAATGTCCATTATATTGTGTGGATTCCAGGCAGATGAGCTATACTCGAGAATTCTCCAGTTGTACTTTATTTCGCTATCTTCCCTGCCTCAAATGACTAATTCCTCCCTCCTCCTGGTTTGCTTCGGGCTTTGTCAGGTCCTCTAGTTCTGAAGTTGACCCAACTTTCCCTTTGATCTCCTTGCAAATCAGGCTGACCTCTCACTCCCTCAGCTGTAGAGGTTTTTCCTTCTTCCCTCCACCCCAGGCTGCTTGTCAAGCCACTTCAACGGCGGGCGTGTGAAACTTGTCCTTCAGGAAAAGACTTGCAACAGCTTGTCCAGAACCTGTCCCAAACACATCACCTGGAGTATGTTCACTGAAGTTCCTTGCAAAGGACCATGCATGAGAAGAAGCAAGCTGTAAAGTTGTGAAAGGATGTTTTTAAGATGCAAATGGACTTCAGGAACACCGAGTGTTGGTTGTCAGCTACACAAGGAACAAATGAATTTCGCAAGGACTCCAGCTCACTTCATGATTTACCTACCTGTAATAATATTGATGGCAGTGGCCGCCAAACTTTTGGGTACCAGAGACAAGTTCCATGGAGAAAGGTTTTTCTGTGGACCAGAGGGCCCAGTGCCAATCCATGGACCAGGGGGGAAGGGTATTGGGAACTCCTGATCTAAGGGTATGTTTGCCAAGTCAATCACTTTGACTTCAAAGAGGCTTACTTACAAACAGCAGAAACAGGGTTATAGTCTAAATCTCGACATGTTTGTCCATCAGCAAAAGAAATTCAGGGGGGGAAAAACAGTTTCCTTTAGGCCAGGGTGTTTGCTTTCGATAAATATTTCATTTTCAAAAATCATTCTAAAGAGAAGCGTCTTTCTCATGAACTGCAGTAATTTTAATTTCTTCTTTGAATCAACTGCCTGGTTTCTTTCTTTCCTTCCTTCCTTCCTTCCTTCCTTCCTTCCTTCCTTCCTTCCTTCCTTTTCTTTCTTTCCTTCCTTCCTTTCTTTCCTTCCTTCCTGTTTCATATTTTAATCCCCTTCCCATTTTCCTCAAAGAGGGACTCTAGATGGTGTACAGAATAATATTGAAATACAAAAGAGTATATAAGAAAGTAAAATATTAAAAGTTAAAATTATGAGTTAATTTTTTTAAAAAAAGGTATAAAAATTTTTAAGGAGGCAATAATCATTAAGCCTGTTAAAAATTGGTTGACAAGCCAAAGGGAAGGCTCTTATGGCACTAACCAACCTCACTATCATGTACTCCTTTGGGCTCCCCATACAAAGTCGCAGAGCCATGGTTTAACCCCTTTTTGGAAGACCAGAGAATGGAGGCCCACCTCACCTCTGGGAGAATGATATTTGCTCTTTACTGACCCCCCCTAATTTTATTTTCTCCAGGTATCTGCAGTGGTGAATGTGGAAGGAAAAAGTTTTGGAGTTTCCTTAAGGCAAAATTAATTGAGAGTTGAATTAAAAAGCAAAACAACTGTAATAATTACATGCAGACAGACATGCCCAACATCCCATTATTCCCTTTCAGGTGAAACCATGTTAGTGCTGAAAGAGATTGATAATAGGGAACAGAGGAAATTAAAAGGAGAAAACAAAATAAATGGATTTCGATAATAATTTAAGAAGCTGAAACCTGCTAGGCTGGGCTAGCAAAATAGACAGTCAGTGTTTCTCAATTTTCGCCACTTCTATAGTTTGAACTTCAATTCCCAGAATTCCCCTACTGGCAAGGAATTCTGGGAGTTGAAGTCCCTATAGTTTAAAGTGCCCAAGGTTTATAAATACCACAGTATGCCACCATGGATTCAAAGATATATTGTGAGAATTTAGTATCTTTTAATCTCACCTCCTCATGGATTTTGGAAACAGGATTTGCCTTCCTCAGTTTCCAAGCAGAGACTTGCAATGACACAATAATAGATTACCAAGGAGTCAGTTTAGAATGGCCTCTGTTGGTCCTTTTTAACTATAAACACGCTTCGTTAAATCACAATTTATTTAACAAAGTGTTCTCACGTGTGAGCCTGTGACCCAACTGAATGTAAAAACTAGATCTGGGTTATAAAAACAGAAATATCCACCAGATGACAGTAAAAAAATAATTAAAAAAAATACTCTTTGCTGACCTCTACTGATAATTTGGATTTTTACAGCCCTGGATTTTTATAGCTTCTCTTAACTAAACAGCTATTTGTACTATACCGAGAAATTCTTTCCAAGATATAATACACTAAAACCAAGTGCATTATTGGATCTTGGCTTAGTACCGCAAGCAAACTCAGCCCCTTCAAGATCCAGTCAACAAACCATCATTCAAATAATCCAACCTAGCAACCAGACCATCAAGATCTTCCCTTTATCCCAGAATGAGCCTGTGTGGTTTCTTCACAATAGTGTTTATTTTCTTTAGGCACAGTGCCTCCCGCTGCACTGACACAACATCACACAACACTCCATCCTAGATAACCCCTGTTCCTCTCTCCTGAGTCAAATCCCAGGGAACTGTCCCAAGGCAACCCTAAACGAGAAGCAGTTCAGCTGATGCCAACTGAAAGCTGGATCTCTGCTAGAAAGGTTCAACCAAGCAATCCAATCATTCCTGTCTTTTCCACAAAAGGGACCTTGGAGGTCTTCTAGTCCAACAGGAATCACAACAGGATGCAACTGCATTTTTTTTTTTTTTAAAAAGGAGTTTATAAAAAAGGTTGCTGAGGAGGAGGGAGTGTTTCCACAAAGCTAAAACCAATTCGTGGCTTCCCTAAATCCTTGCTCACCACTTTCCCTTTTCCTGAGCCAAACCGGGGGTGGGGAAAAAGGCTCCATTGAAATTCAACAGATGGTGCGGCCCTAGGGACCCTCTGCTACTGGCAAAAGGGGTGGGTGGGTGTTGGAAAGGCCTAAATGCCAAGATGATTAATGGGACCGCATCCGCTTTTATACCACCCCCCCCCCCGACGGCTTCTCTGTTCCACGCGATTCCCTTTCACCTACCCGTGCAAACAACAACGCGCGGCTCAGCCTCTCGCCCGGGGCATTTCTGCGCCGGGAATCCCAAGGAAGCCACCGACGATCGCGTTCACACAACCGGGGTCCAGCCTCCTCGAGGGGCGTTTGAAATCGGCCGGCCGAGCAGGCCTGACTAATCCAGCTGTTCCTGAAACCTGGTTGCCTATGATGCCCAGGGGTTAAGAGGCTTTGGCGTCGGTACCCAAAGCCGATTCTGGATCCAAAGCCCCGATTCCCCTCCAGCCAGGCACTCTGCACATGCTCGAGTCAAGGCGAGAGAGCCCTGAGCCAACCTCCCCGTCCCCCCAATTCCCCACCGATCGGGGAAGGGCGGCGCGTCCTTTCTCCGTCCTTCCTCCCGGGAAGCCATGGTCCAGCGATCCCCAACCCACCTGGACGTCAATCCGGAGCCTCTCCGAGGCTCACCTTCCCGCGATCCAGGCAGCCACCGGACAGGAGCGCCTTTGGAAACGGAGCAAGTCGGGGAATCTCCGGGAAAGGAGAGGCGATCCCGGCGGGGTTGGGTTTCTTTTTGTTTCTTTTTTTCACCCACCGCGGTGGCAGCCGAGATCAGCCGTTCTTTGTCCCGCCTGGCTCATGCCGCCAGCCGCTAGCCGGCTGCTGATCCCCTCCACCGCCGCCGCCGCCGCCGGCTGCTCCTCCCGCCGCCTCCCCAGCGCAGTTGACTCAGAGATCCGCCCCCGTGCAGGCGCCCCCGCCCTAATCTGGCCCGGGGCTGGTCCCTGCGCAGGAGGAGGAGGAGGAGGAAGGCAGGAAAGGCGCCGGCAAGCGAAGCCTGGCAGAAGCTTCCCCGTGGGCAGCCGCCGGTCGACTAGCGAAGGGTGATTGTCACTAAGCTGAACTAACAAGCATTTCCAGATGATTGATTGATTGATTGATTGATTGATTGATTGATTATTTGATCATTGATGATGGATTAATTGATGATTTAATTGATGAGGGATTCATAGATTGACGCATGGATTGCCAGCCGGCCAGTGTGCACCTATGAATATTGAAATCTCTCTCTCTCTCTGTGTATGTATATGTATATGTATAATGTATATGTATATGTATATGTGTGTATATATATATACA